GTCATACAACTGGTAAGTCAGCAGGTTTGTCTACCTCTTGTCTTTGCTTCAATACCTAGTGATGCTGATGCTGTGATAGAATCCATGTGGTGATCTGATTGCCTTTCCCTTTGTTTTATAAACGAGCACGTTAGGTCAAGGCATCAGCACCGAAGCTCATAACTGTGGGAGATTCACCTGTTTGGTAGTTACCACCGAGAAAGTGGATGTGAATGAGGTCAGGACCCTGTCATAGTGTGTGGGCAAGTGCAGTGACAGTAACATATATGCTGGCCAGGGAGCAGGGACATGGCCCAGATGGGCTCCAGGGTTCCTTCCAGTGCTAAGCCTTGTGGTTTGCAATGTTCTGTCCTTTTGTCTGCCTTTTAGAATTTTTTCTTGTGAAAATATCAAATGTGCCCTTTCTTTGTTAAAATTTACATAAGAAAATGAAACTGGAATGATAGCAAGGTTTTTGTTGTTGCCTTTTTAAGTTTAATTTAGTAAACTTTTACCAAACACCTGTTCTGTACCAACCAGATACAGCTAACATCACCAGACCATCCTGTGGAGCACAGTCACCATTTTTGATGTCCAAAGACCCTCACATTAGGAATCTGTTTACTTTTTTCTTTTATCCACTATCCCTTTATTGTTTACAATGAAAGCAGAAACTTTAGTTAATGGTAAAGACCCAGTTAGGTTAACACTTTCATTGAAAATCGGGATTTATCTGTGATTGTGGATCAGAAAAATTTCAGGTTTTCACGTTTGGGCTTTATTTGCTTTGGATGAGACATTTATGACCTAGTTAGAACTATTCCTGTGCCAAAAGTTGTAGTGGCAAAGAAAACCTTCCCTCCATACAAGGAATAACTGAAGGCATTTCTAGTTCTACCGGCATATCCTATAATTGCCTTTCTGGAGATAAGAACCGTGGAAACCTGAAATTAGAACACAATGAAATACCAGCATAGAAAAGTCACTAATGTGTCATTTCTGTGCTAAATCAGAAACTATCCCGTTATACTGGATTCCAATCTTGGCCAGCAGTCACAGGTGACAGAGTTAGGGTGGGATTGGGATGGGATAAGTAATTTCTGCAAATTAGGCAGAGACCATTGCCTGGATACCACTCTGCTAAAGCATTGAAAAAAGCAATAATCTCTTGAAAATAGCAAGAATCTCGGTTACTTCTGGTGTGGTGTTGCAATGACTCTAAGATATATGTAGGGGTCCCTTTTATGGATTCTTTCCCAATATCCAAGAAAACAGAAAAAATTAATGTGCAGTGTGTCCTCTGATCCTTTACACAGAAATTTGAATTGTATCTGCATGTGGGATTTTAGAATTTACACATGTTTTCTTCCTCTCAGGACCAGGATGGCACAGTGCCCCTTTTGCTTATCTCAAATCTCATCTACACTAATAAAAGAGAAACATGGTAATTGGCGTACGACCGCTACCCTTCCCATTGGCTAATCAGCATATCCTTATGCAAATTAACTGTCAGCCAAGATGGCGGCCGGCAGCCATGCACTGAAGCGAGCAGGGAGGCTTGCTTGCTTCAGTGACTGCAGACTCCAACGTTCCCCACCTAACTTGCCGGCCTCTCAGCTGCAACTCTAAGCAACTATGTACTATGTTGCAAATAAGAAGCTAAACAAAACCCCAGAAACCGGCTGTCAGTCAGCCAGGTTCAGCCAGCCTGACCGCAACATTGTATCGATGTTTTCAGCAGCGAGGCCTCAGAGCTAAAGCTGGCCCAGAATAAAAAAAGAAAAAAAAGAAAAAAAGGAGCGGTTGGGAGCTTCAGTCACCTGCTTCCAGAAAACAGCCCTCAGCCCCTCACCCAGACTGGCCAGGCACCCCAGTGGGGACCCCCACCCTGATCCAGGACACCCTTCAGGGCAAACCAGCCTGCCCCTACCCATGCACCAGGCCTCTATCCTATATAGTAAAAGGGTAATATGCCTCCCGGCACCGGGATCAGCGGAGCAGCGAGGCTCCCAGCACCAGGATCAGCGTGACAGGGGGCAGCGCCCAAACCCCCTGATCAGCCCTGCTCTGTGCCTGATGGGGGGAGCTCCCCAATCCCCTGATCGCCCTGTGGCTCTGTGTGTGACAGGGGGCGGGGCCACAACCTCCCTATCTGCCCTGCTCTGTTCGTGACAGGGGAAGGCGCCCCAACCCCCTGATCCAGCCCTGCTCTGTGCCTGATAG